TGTGTGTGGCTGAAGCAACTGGTTAAAGCCTCTGTGTCTTGCGCTGCAGTGCCAAGGAAATAAAGACCCCTTTACCCCATCTAAGTGAATCTCATATTAAAGAGCTAAAGACTGAAGGTTGCCCTACACTCCTTCTGCCCAATTCCTGTGAACAGGATGGGAAGAGGCGCAGTAAACCTGTGAGAAGCCACGATGACAGCCACCTAGCTCAAGAACAAAAGGGAGATGGCTAGATGGTTCTACCCAAAGTTACCATCCATTATCCCCATCTATAAAAGTTTTACTAACCAGGTTACTACCCTCTCAGACTGAAGTATGAAGTAGCCCCTATAAAAGCCATAATTAGGCATTTAAAAATATTTTTTAGCTTTCTGATAAATAAACCCTCTTTCATAATATGTCAATTCTTGGACATTCTTCTTTCAAAAACATTTTTAGGAATGCATTTCCCTTGAAAGTAGGAAATGCTAATTTGAACTTACTGTTAGGTATCTTGAACAGATAAACAGCCTTCATACAGTTTTGTATTCCGAGTCAACAACAAAAACGGTGTTCAATAAGTATTTGCGAATAAACAAAACATTCTGAAAAAATTTTAACTGGGTTATTCTCCTCTAAGGCCATAATTAAAGTACAGAATTCCCTTCCACTTCCCGTTAGGTACTATTTCTTAAAATTCCACTTTCTAGAGACAGTATGTCTTGGTAGAGAGAGCTGTCAGATCTATATTTGAATACCATTTCTGCCACTTAATAGCTGTATGATGCTGGGCAGGTTATTTAACTTCTCTAAGACTCAGTGTCCTCATTTACAAATAACATCGCCTACTTACTAGGAATGTTCCGAGGATTAGAAATACACAAGTGGTTTTCACTTTGCAAGGTTCTAATATGCACAAATTTCAATTATCACGGTATAGTTAAATAATACCAATACCCCAATAACGCAATTCAAATTTCAGTTGCCATAGTATATTAACTGTGCGTAATTAAATATAGTACTACAAACTTTGCTACTAGATCTTCAGTCCACAAATCACTATGTAAATAGAAACGCATAACCATCAGTGGATTAATGAAGTCACTTCTTTCAAAATGTGTTGGTGGATTTGACAAAATAAACTGCAAAGCAATAATAATTCGGCTGTTGGAGGACTTCTCATCAGCAACAATAAAAGCCAGGACACAATAAAATAATATCTCTAAAGTGCTGAGAAAAAATATAGCTCTCTGCCTAAATTTTTAAGTATGGATAAAACATTAGGGCAAAGTCTGTCTGTGATTAGTCACTGCACATCTGTTAATCAGTTCTTGCACAGATAGCAAAGCGTGTAGCTGAGTTGCCTCCTTGTCTCCTGTGGTGAACGTATGTGACATTTTACAAAAATGAATAATCAAGAGGAGAAAAGCCAATAATGATGAAAGTACAGCAAAGAAACAAAAAGTGACAATGTTGGAAATGAAATTCCAATCATACATAAACAGAGTTATAGAAAAAATAGCTGACCATGACAATGTTGACCCTGCTGCCATTCAAGAGACTCTAGATATGCAGCCAGATAAACTTAGTGAAGGCAAACTTATTGACACAAATGAAGAAAAGTGGTTGTGAGAAGAGCATGAAGATGGACCAGAAGTGATGACAGCAAAAAACTCTGCATTAAAGGAACTCTCAAAGATCTTTCACAATATTGAAAGTGCAAAGAATAAAATGTTAGAGGCTTATCCAAACTTAGAAAGGAGTATGACAATTCACCAAGGCATAGAAAAAATACTCATTCCATATCATAAGTTTTAAGACAAGAAGTCAAACACTGTTCAAACTACTCTTGATAAGTTCTTTTTATAAAGAAATAAAACATTTTTTCTCAATGTTTTTAATGTTTTAAACTATAGTATCCCAAATAAATGTTTTACTGTTCTTTTTTTTTAATTTCTCTATATATTTATAAGCAACAGTAAAAGGGTTTACAATGTTTGACAAGAATTTTTAAAAGTCACAGAACAATTGTAAATTTTCGCATTAAGATTGCTTTGCTGGTTTTAACTTGCATGGTCATTTGTGTGTTCCACACTACGATGCAAATTGAGGACTGCCTGTACCTATAACTTCTGGCACATCAAGGTGTTTATTATTTCACAACTGAAGAGAAACCTTCTACCCTTTCCCCTGGTTCTTACAATCTACTCAAACAGAAAAAGAATTTGAAATGATCTTCAGCGATGTTAAGATAGCTTTTGACTGAGAATCATTACCATATCTGAACATGCAATTCTCCAAACTCATCTTAATGTTACCCAAAATACACACACTCTAATGCTGAAAGATAGGTTTCTAGAATAGTTATCCAATTTACCCTTTGCGATAGTATACTATTTCATGCTTGTCCTTATCCCTTGCATGAAAGGACAAAACAATGAAATGTGATAGAAGTAACATGGTATAACAGCTCTAGAGTCAGACCTCAACTTGCATACTACTCCTATACCACTTTTTGCAGCCTTAGATAAGTTACTTCTTAGGACTTCAATTTCCTAATCTATGAAATGAGGATAATAATATCTTCTTTTTAAAATTATGGTCAAGATCAAAAGAAACATGATATATGAAGTGCTTAGTAAACTGTGATACACGGTAAGGATTTAGATATAGCTATTATCGCCATTATCTTTAATATTTCTATCATTAATAAAAATATTAGAATGATAAAGTTGTATTTGTTTTAAACATCATTATTAATCAGCATGTTTTTCAAAGATCAAATTCTCTTAATCCAAGATATGATAGATAATTACCATCTACTGGGTAAGAACAGTTGACCTCAACTTCCTACAGATCATTTTCTCCAAAGGTACATGTGCAAAGGGTGGCCGACATTCACTCATTCTCTTCCTATGTCAAAACCCTCCCTGCAGTCTGCTCAGTGTTTCCTCTTCTGAGGACATTAAGAACTAAAGCCATTTCCCATTTCTCAGAGTTATCTGCCAAAACAGTAGTATCTTGCTTTCTCATAGCTCACATGACTTAACTGTCAGTTTTCTCTTTTGATTCTAATCATTGGTTCTAAACTAAGAGTCATTATTACTGACATCTACCCATAAAGCTGCAAAGAACCTAAAGGCCAACTAAAGCCAACACTTTTTTTCTACTAAACAATTCCCCTTAAAATATTCATCTGTTAGTTGAGCAATGTCTGTTTTCACTTTCAATGACAAAAAGCTCTCTCCCTCTTAAGCCAACCCATTCCAAGATTACATCTTTAGATAAAAAGTTTCCTTATGCTGATGCAAACCCTCTCCCCTTACAGTTTCCACCCATAGGCCCTAATTCCAGATTCTAGGGAATTACAGAAAGTTTAACATTCTATATAACAGCCCATCCAATATTTGAAGACCCTTAAGCTTCTTCTCCATGTTACGTATTTGCAGTTCAGAAAGCATGGTTTTAAGTCCCATCCCTCATGGACCTCCTCTGGACCAGGTATGGGCTTGCCAACATCGTGTAACAACAAATCGGTAAAGCGCTTCCTTTGCCAACATTTAGGCTGCCAAGTAATTACACTACATTACCCTTTGCCCGTATTCTTTCATTATTAAGTAAAAATTATTAACTTAAACTGGTTCAGGAAAAATCATGGAAATTTTAATTATTAATTTAAACTAGTAATTCAGGAAAAAATCTCAGCCTAAATAGTGGTTTAAACATGTTGCTAAAGTCCTGAAAACTGCAAGAGTTCTCTTCTCTTCTTTTAATTTAGCCAATTATTGGGAAGAGAATTAAGCAGGAGCAGCTGGCATGAAAAGCTTGCTTCTTTCTTACAAGCCAAACACATGCCTGCAGAAGGACCCAAAAATGGGAAGGTTATCTAAAAAGAATTTGCTTTGTGTCCTGAGAAAGCAGATCAAATTAAACGAATAGCCAAAAAATATTACCTGCACCTTGATGGAGCAAGTATCCGAAGAAAAATCAAACATTGTGTTCTCAAAACTTGACCAAAGTAAACAACAAAAAAAGAAATGGCAGATTTTTCATGTGCTTTCCTCGCCTGGCAGGAATAATGGTCTGGGGAAATATACAGAAAAAAAGCCTGAGGGGGCCAGTGGTGCCTGTTAGGGGCAGCAGCTGGAGGATTGTTCCCTAAGTCCTCAGAAGGTGCAATCTGTGGAAACAGTGTCCCCAGATGACCCCTTAACCTTTGGGCAGTCGGACAGGAGGCAGAGTGGAGCAGGGACTTGGTCCCTTGTGCTGCTCTTGGGAGCCCGGCACAAGCAGGACGGTACAGACTGGGTGCTCTGCCTTATACTTTTGGTGCAAGGCAATAGTTGAATAGTCGTACTCAAGAGTAGGTGATCTCTGGTACGAAGAGATCGTGGGTGGGAGGGATGAAAGGTAGGGGTCAGGATCTGAGATTGGAAACCATCCCCTGGAGGTGACCGAAGTAGTCTAATATGTACAGAAAAAAGAGGAAAACAAAGACTTTAGAGTTTTCACGTATGGGGGAGGGAGGGAGAGTAAGCCAAGACCTTTTCCTTTCTGTGCCCTTAGGGCGAAGGTGGTGGCAGCAACAATAAGAGCAGAGGTCCCGGGCCCTCATTCTAAAGAGCAGAGTCCTCCAGTCTCCCAGTCTCCCAGTCTGCCCCAGCCTGTCTGCCCTCGGCTCTTCATGTAGAATTCCTATTTCCAACCCTGCTCCTCAAGCTTCCC